GTATGAACCTGTATGAACCTGAATGGACCTGTATGAACCTGTATGGACCCGTATGAACCTGTATGGACCTGTATGAACCTGTATGAACCTGAATGGACCTGTATGAACCTGTATGGACCCGTATGAACCTGTATGAACCTGTATGGACCTGTATGAACCTGTATGAACATGAATGGACCTGTATGAACCTGTATGGACCCGTATGAACCTGTATGGACCCGTATGGACCTGTATGAACCTGTATGGACCCATATGAACCTGTATGGACCTGTATGAACCTGTATGAACCTGAATGGACCTGTATGAACCTGTATGGACCCGTATGAACCTGTATGGACCTGTATGAACCTGTATGAACCTGAATGGACCTGTATGAACCTGTATGGAGCTGTATGAACCTGTATGAACTTGACATTTACAGATATTTGTTGTTTAGTTGCAGCATCTGTTGTCTCATCCGCTATTAAAGTAAAGTATTTACTATTGACAATGTCATTGGAGATTTTGGACTTTATTTGATTTGCACATGTTGCAAAAATAAAAGGACAACTCTGTCATAAAACGAAAAAATTGACTCATTCTCGGTTTTATCTCGGTGATCATGTACTTCTTATAATTTTACCAGTCAATATTTTAAATCTAAAGATTGACTTTTTTCAATACGTCTATTTCACATCAACAGAATTCATCTACGTGATAAATATCACAAAGAGAATAGTTCTAATTATAAATTACCATGACAGTTGAATACAACAAATGACTGTTTTCAGTGGCTGAAAGTCACGATATTGGTTAAATGGAGACAATGTATTGAAGTGAGATAAAGGTCCATTGGGAGCCATGTATCGCCTTAAAGTACTCTACAAAGGGAGATTCCCCTCAAACAACAATGAGAAATATGTAAGATAAAATACTAATCATGGGTTTGCCTTGTTAAAGTACTACACCTCATTTAAAAACAAAATTGGAAAAGTGGGGGAGTGACCTTTTTTATCTACAAATATCAGTGCTGCTTTTTGTGTTGAAATATTCCTTTTTTGTGTTAAAAATTACAGTCCTACTCTGATGCTATATATTACAAATTCTTTTCTCATGGGTGTTGCATATTACAAATCCCTTTCTTACACATGTATTTCAGATATATTCCAAATTGTCAACTACTGTCTTTCTTTTTCAGAATCCCTTTCTTTTGGGTATGTAACAAACAAAATATCATTCGTGAATAACTAATGACAGGTGGATGATTGGTTGAATGTCAAAAACATGGCTCAATTGTCAAACGAATGTCACAGATAGGTCACACAGATGATTTGGTTTGTTACTAATGCATAACATGATTAGTTGAAGGCAAGCATGAGTGCCACATGGTTGGAAAGCCAGAACAGAAACTCAAGAGAGGTCAAGAGAACTTTGATTAAGGAAGGCTACAATCTTCTGGTGTATTGCCTATAATGTAATAGTATTCCACCTCCTGCTAATATTTACATAGACCCAAACATTGAATGAACATTTGAAATGATTATTAGTATTTATGGGTATAAGTATATAAAATATCTACAAATATAGAAACAGGATTTTAATGTCGGAATTCATTTTAATACTGATTGATTAACAAGAAATAACAAAATGTTTTAAACCACATTTATTTTCTTACTCACCAGATGCAACAACAAATTTGATATTTTCATTTTATACGATATTTTACAAACTGTGGTGTTTTACTAATGGTCCATTAAAATTGCAATACAGTGATGACAAACTGGAGAGATATCCATCTTTTCAGTACTTTATATCACCAAGTAAAGAAAAATATTTTTTTCAACTTAAGATGTAAACTTAAACTTAATTTGAAGATGCTTATAAAGTCATCTGAAACATGTCATTGCCAGCTGTTAACAGCTAATATATAACAATGATTTTTAGCACATATAAATCGTACCTGATTTATTATCCATTATATTTGTTTTTTATAATCTACTGTTAAACAAGCTGGTAGGTTTCATAGGGGTTCTGTTTGTGTTAATGAGGTAATGGCAGTATAGAAAGACATACATACTGGTAGATAACAATCATATCTTTAGCATCAAATACTATTCATACAGTTTTATTTTAAGTCATTCAAATCATGAAGATGTTTTTGTATATCTTTTCATACACAACAGTTTTAGCACTACATTGAATCCCCAATACAGTCATCTCCCAAATGATTTAATTTAAGATTCATAACAAGTTGGGGTTTTGTATGAGACTACCTATCATTGAAAAGATAATATGCCTTACAGTTATTTAACATATTAACTGTATGTAGTTTGCGTTCATCCTTGCATGTACACCTGATTTACTGTTTGTTCAAATGTATCATAAAACATAGTTTAATTAAATGATACACACAACATTTTATTCACTGCAAATATACTTTCATGTTATATCCGTAGATCAAAGCAATGAAACCAATGATAATTATTTTAAATATGTCATATACATGAGAATCATCTGCTTTCAAATGACAACAATTGTTCAAATTGATTTTATTGTAACTAAACAAAACTTTCATCTAAAAGCTAGTTTTTATTACAACAATGGATTATAGGTCAATATGATACAAAAGCTCAATCAGTTGATCAGATTGTCTTATTGGTGCTTTTCAAATTTGTCTGGAGACATTTAATGTTTTCATTCTAGAAACACTGACCGATGAGATTGTATGATTGCATTATCATTGATAATATTGGTTGAACTCAGAAATGACATTAGTATTTTAGTTGGATATTAGACCATTACATTCTATTTGTTCAATATAAGATTTTTATTGAAATATGTGATATTATTATAACCCAGGTAATTTTCACGATACCAGAAAGTGTGTTTTTATCCAATTACTTTACTTTGGATACAAACAAAGGCTGAACATCTTACTGGATCGCTTTTGATCCCAAGTTATATTTTGTGTGCATTTGTATATTTGCCATATGTGCTTTCAGATGGTATATTCAGATATGAATTTTGCATACAACATATAATATATTTTACAACCACCTAATATATTTATTTCACAATAACAACAAATTATATAGAACTGTGAATATTTGATCCTTCAGCAGCTTAGCTATTTTATAGCATACCAACCAAAAACAATTCTCATCATCTATATCTAACATTTTTTCAAGCTATACTGTTCAAGAACAAAAATATTTATATTTTGATACATGTATATTACATATAATTCAGCAAACATTCACAGACCAGTCATTTAGCAGAGTAATTTAGAGCTGTTTCAAAAACCAATTATTTTGCTGATATGTAATTACTGTATTAACCATTTTTATATTATAAGTACAAGGTTTGCCATTCCTTTACAAAAGTAAGGAAAATGGAAACATACTAATTAACAATTGAAAATGATAATATTGTTGTTATGAACTACGAAAAGTGCGTAGTGTTCAGGCCCGTAGCCAGCTTTTGCCAGGTAGTCAGGTTTTAAAAAATTCCAGGCCTGCATGTAAGGAGACAAACAATACTGACTTACTGATCATCAAATAAGAATCATCTACAACTTTTTGATTAGCATTATTTACAATAATTTGGGTGTATTTACATTTATATTGATTCACAAAACCTTGCGTGAAACTTCCTTATGATTGTATTTGATTATGTATTTGTTAATTGTTATATTATAAATGTATATCTGGGTTCTCCCCAGAATCTAATTGCATGGCGCTCCCCCCTGCTCACTCGTTTTCCCCGCCCTGTTCCCCCCCTGCTTGCTTCGCCCGCCCTGCTTAGCGCCCCGCTACTTCAAAACTTACGTACATTATTTTATTCTCCTGGATATTCGACGAAATCACATAAAATTCAAAAAATTTTCAAAAAGTTTTTCCCGATTTGCCATTCCGAAGGCCGAATCTTAAATGTCTTCTGATTGGCTCAAAACTCATGATTAGTTACGAAATATCCAATCAAATTATCTATTACTAATCGTGCGTCATCGACATAATTTGCCCCAGGTTCGGTTCGATCACCTGATTTGACTACGTATGCGCATGCGCCCAAAACATTCTAACCTATCAAAATCGTTCATTTGATGCGTGCGTTCAGAAAATTAGAAAAAGTTAACAGTTGAACATGGCGCAGATTACCCCTATACTGCAACGCGGAGTGATATGATCACCGATCATCAAAATCGCCAATTTGGAATAAAACAAACATAAAAACGACTAAAACTACAATTTGACAATGAAGTATTATTTTTTATTAATAGTTATTATAATTGCGAACGAATTAATGTTCAAATCTTGCTTTTGATGGTTGTCATGATAAAGAAGTTCGACTTCCGGTTCTTTATGCGGGAAACTCAAAAAAAATGGGTAAAATTAAAAAGACTTATCTAAAGAATAGAATGAAAGTAGAAACAGTGGACAGGGTCCTCAACATTATCATAAATGGACCAAGGTAAGAGGTGTTCGATTTTGAGGCAGCATGGGGGAGGTGGTTTGACATGCACCCCAGAAGATGTAGGGACAGAAGACTTTAAGGAAACACAATGAACAATGAATACTCATGACACTAGGCTACAAGCATATTATCATGTATTGTTAAATAAAAGGTTTTCTAAATGAGAATTGGTGTTTATATAGCGAGCGAAGCGAGCGGCAAAAATTGGCACAAAAATCATGCGAGCGAAGCGAGCGACGAAACTTGTTAAAAAATCCCCCCCTGCTATGAAAAAATCCTGGGGAGATCACTGTATATAATGGGTAATTAATGATTATTGCATGACATTAAATGTTGTCTTATTGTTATTATTTGGTTATCATGGAAGAGTATCAAATGCAATTAATCAATAGTAATAATATACTTATTATAAATGTACTTTTGCTTATTCAAATATAGTAAAAATATCAATCTTCTATAAAAACAAATTTTTAGTCTATTTTTCTGTTCACATACTGGACGTTGTAGTAATTGGGCTCCCAGACTTTCCCTTAGGTTTTATACGTCCCTCTCCATTTGGCACAAGCTTAAATCCTTCATTCTTCAAACAGTTTGGTTTACTAGGACAACAAGCAGAGAACACCTCAATGAATGTGGTCCTGAATTGTCTTGACATAGTGCAATAAAGCACAAAGTTGACAGAGTTATTGATAAGTGCTAGAATGTCAAAAACATCACCGAGAGGTGCATACACCATTTTGTAAAAGTTGGTAATGAATATGTTACAGACTGTAAGTATTCCATGTGGTAATTCTGTAATAAGGAACAATACAACCACAGCTAAGAGCATCTTTGTGGTACGATTGTTCTCGTGTGATCGGTCGGATTCATTTTTCTTGCCTTGAGACTTCAGTCTCATTCGCCGTTTGCTTGCCTCATTCATGGCAACAATAAGTACAATGGTTAGTACAGTTAGCAGAATACATGGGATGATTTTGATGAACAATGCTTGGATCCAGTAGTTCAACCTTATCAAAATAGGTTGTGCTTTCGCTAAGTTGCTGTCGAGGATCGTCCAAATATTTTCATGGATTGTCACATTTGTACCATTAATCTCTTTCACTGATGTGTAGAACTTTGGTCCCACATTGGCTACAGCATTACAAAGAAAGTTTGGGACGCATATACATACAGTGATTATGTAAACTAGAGCGATACTTAGCTTTGCCCTCTGTAGAGAACATAACGTCATGCCTCTTGTCGGGAAATAGATATACAAGAAGCGAAACGTTGCCAGAGTAATTGTCAGCCATATTGCTATTGTGTGGCATACAACTGTGTAGTTAATATGGAAAAGGAAAAAATGTATCCAAGGAACACTGCGTGTATCAAAGAGTCCCAAGTCAGGTGGCTTCAGGATGTAGAAATGGACAGCAATGGGAAGATATGATGTCATCGTCAGCAGATCAGCTACAGCTAACCACAGCAGGATTGTGTTTGTCGAAGAAATCATATTTTTTCGTGTCAGTACAATGATATTTGCGGAGTTGCAAATTAAGCCAAATATGCATACAGCAACACTTAAGTATCCGTGTACTGAACCATACGCTTCACCAAACTTTTTCAAACCAGATATTTCTGATGAACCACCATCATTATTACTTGGCCCGGCTGTACTGTAATTGAGAATCACATCATATCCAGCTGTATAGTTCAAATTGTCAATCTCGTATGCCATTGTGACTAATTGTCTTGATGATGTATAATCAATAAATTACGTATTAATATCCTTAAATCTTTTTGTTTTTGTATGTTCACATCTAGTATATCATTTTTTCACTTGTCCTCCCTGGCCTTATGGTTAGCTTTTGTTTAAAATGCAGATGTACCAATTATATTTATGGATGATTTCAGGATAGCGTTGATCTGAAGTCACTTCCAATCAAGTCTGTTCATTCAATTTTAATCTGTGTATTGGAAAAGCTAATGATCTCTATGTTTCATGTAAATGCAATTTATTGGAGCATTGATCAGAAACACTATACACAACACAAATATTGTTCACTGTTTCCACACCTGGCAATGAAACTTGAATTTTTCACATTGCTTCAATCCAAATAAATATCATGCGCCAATCAAATTGTTTCCAATATTCTTAATTATCAAACTATGATGCTGATTTTTCACCACTTTCATTTTTCAAAGCACTGAGGTAAACTTTGTTAACTCTTTCTGCAGTTTATTGCTCTTCTTGTGATGTTTACATATGTCTTGCTCATAAGTAGATTATACAGGATGTTGGTGGCATTTATATTATATTAATTTTTCAGTCAAGTCATAAGCTACTTAAATGGGTCTCAACCTTCCCTTCTTCGCCCTTTCTTCTATAAGACTTCTATGTATATTTCTGTATTGCCATCATAACACCCCAACTGTGATTCATCACTAATATACTATTATGTCTAGGAAAATACACATCATGTAGCTATTCATCAACACCTATGATATATTGATCTCTCTGGAACCAAAACTATACTGTGTCAGGATAACATTGCCTGTTTTACGATAATGTATAGTTTTGTTGCTTCCCCTTGCCTCTAGTAATTGTCTTAATTGTTTAAATTGTCTGCGTCCATATCCCAGATCATTTACGGAATCATTAGCATTAAAATATCATGTTTATAGCTGTTTTGTAGTGTTTATGTCAAAGTCTTCTCTCAAGGGTGAATTTAACCAAAATAGTGGAGCTTCAATCTCAGACAGCAGGCTCTATATCATTAAATTTTATGATAGATATTTCATAGAAGTTATGATATAGTTTCTCTGATCTTTAGATTTGTTTTTGAAATTGGAACTTATTTTTAGATTAGTTTTGAGTATACCTTATAATGATTGCTAGCTTCTAATCTAATATAGTAGACTGTTGGTGGGTTGTATACTTGATTCCCTAGGGAAATATGGCCCTGGAGAGCTTCAGATCATAGTGCTGTTAATCGGAGATCCTAGCTTAAAAGGAAATCCTTTTTTCAGATTTCATCACAGAATACGCCTTGTTACACAATCAATGTTCAGAGAGATCAAATTCGTTTTCCAGCCCAGTGGTTTTTTGCGTTGTCGATCAATGTTTTCTTGTTATCGGAGATTGTTCCATTTGTCTTTCAGTTTGTCATTTACATATTTAGTGTTCATCTTAATCCTTACTCATCTGTTCAGATTGTCCATACCGGAATCTTTATCTAAAAGGATGTGTAGGTGATATGTAATTCTCTTTTTCTTTGTTGTACATTTGTTGTTGAATCCTGCATGTCTGAAAATATAAACACATTTGGATTATATCATACATTTAATAATTATCCTATAACAATGACACAGATATATTTTTCCCAGACAATTCTAGTACAGAAATGCAGTGAAGAAGATATTAGCTGATGTCGGATTTTAATGATAAAACCCATCATAAAAGATTTATTGCAACATTACATGGTTGTATACTCGAACACATGATTTATTAGAACCCTTTTTATGTACAAGAGGCATAAAAACATGAGGAAAAATATCAGCCAGACCCCTAAAAACCATAAGAAAACAGCCCAGAAAATTTGATTAAAAATAAGACATATAAAAGGTCATGATACTCTTAGTGAGGAATATAAGGCACCATCTCCAGATGTTTTCCATTTTGGTGTACATAATTAGATTAGAATTAGAAAGCATTAAACTCATTAAGCACCCATGAATTTAGCCCCTCCTCAAGCATCTTTCAACTCTAGCAGGTGATCTGCCTTTAATTACCATCAGCACATCATCAAAATGTCTCTCTAACATAGAGTATTTAGAAATATCTTAGTTCATAATTATTATCAATCCTCGTGATAGATGAGTGTAGATCAAATATTGACCATACTGAGCTATCTAATATATAATTGCTGCAATGTTCTCATTTATCTTGTGAATTCCAATTGGTAATCCCTCTATTACTATTGTACTTCATTTTCCATGTGATATGTATTATGATTTACGTAATCAGACTAGATGCAATTAGCGAAACTGAAGCACAAAAAAACATGAATCCCATTGTAACAGTTATTGATATTCTTTATGCAGTCTCCTTTGACTCAAAGGTAGGCACAAAGAAAAAATTGGTGCCAACAATTTAAAATGTTTTACCACTCATAGGATTGTTTACATTCTTCAAAGTCCCTTCCCTTAGAACTTCCAGAACTGCACTTGTAGTGACACTGCTCAATTTATTATTAGTATTCTTCTTATTATTTGCATCTAACATATACATACATGTATATTCCCTTCCCTCATGTTTTTTTCATTTTGGATGGCCCTATTAATGACTCTTCCATTCACTCTCTACTATATTATGTGCCACTTCTTATTTCCATTGTTTAGGAGTCACATTTGCTGTAAATTATTCCTGGAAGTCATTGCAATTGACCCTGGATATATCATACTATGCTGATTTTTATGCACCCAGGCACTCAACACACATGCTTCATTGGTCCAATTTATCTCTGTGGAGGAATTAGTTTTTGTTAATATTTGTTCCCATGGGCAATTATATCATCAGCTTATCGAGGCATTCATGTAAAGGTTATGAAAGTATCAAGGGTTTTATTCAGATTCCTCCCCTTAAATGTATTTGGAGTGCATCAAACATTAGTTTGTATTATATTGAGATGTCTTTCATTAAGACCACAGTAATATGGAGGAAATTATTAATAAGAGGCTTGTGTAACCTTTCTAGAAATGTCATCATGCCTATGCTAGAAATTCAAAGTGAAATGAAGCATACACTTGAATAGTTATACACTTAAAAATGACGGGAATTTTTCGCAAAAATCTTATGTTTTTCATTTTAAACCAAAATAATAAAAATAGAATTATTAGTCTATATTTGAAAATTTGGTAATATATTTACAATGTCTGTCTATTTCACATATATCCTGTGTTTTTCATCCTGACCCCCAGGGGCTGTGAATGGGGAAACAGAAATTTTGAGATGTTTTTGAAATATAGCTTTATTATACTCAATTGAAAGGCAATTTAGAGAGTAGATAGCAAATATTTTTACATTACACTCAAATTGAAGGAATTTTAGAATAGATCACAATTGTGGTCTTGTGTTCCTGATTTGTGCCTCAAAAATTCAAAATGGCTGCCTAGAGTAGGAATTCACCATTACTTAGAGGTATCTTTAAAGTATGGTTACATGATACTACAATGATCTCAAATATTTATTGAATGGAAGAGTAGATGATAAATATTACAATGTTACTACACAGATTCATGATTTATATAGTGTTCATTGGGGTTTGCTACTCTGTGAAGTTGCCGTTTTCTAGTTTATCTCAATTTAGGCAAAATTGCAAAACTGATTCCTGCATATTCATCAATATACGCATTATTGAAAGAGTTATCATCAAATAAAAAATATGGATGTGTTTCTGCCCATCGTGTAGTATGTAGAATTATTAAAAGACCTGTGAAATTCTCTATCCATCGATCACAACAATGCCTTAGAGTCCCATCATTTAATTATTGAAGGAGGTGAAGAATGTCATATTTCATGAAGAATAGCAGCAGAATTTCTAATTGATAACATTCCAGGTTGTAAATGAATCCCATGTTCTGAGATATTGACATAGATGTCCATGTGGAAATTATTGTTTTTAGATATAAATATAAATTAGTGTATTTTTTCTATGTTACATTTTTGTTGGGATAACCATGCCAGATTAAAATTTCACACACAGCCAGGCAAGGTGTGTCTGATTCCAGCTAATCCGAACACAGTATTCGATATAACTGCAGTGCATTATATAACCAATAACCACATCCAAGGTCATTCTTTATGTGGTTGTCAAGGTGACAATTTCGCTCTTTAGATTGAAATTGATGCTCTGCCAACGTATATATTTAGTGTGAAATTGTGAAAATAATTTAAGCCAAAAACCCTATGCATTGTGGAATGACCATTTCTTTTAGGTGTTGTTTCCTAAAATAAACACTCAATGTTGCATCTCGTGCACATTTTGGAAAGCAACACCTTCAAAAAATGGTCATTCCACATTGCATTGAGTCCAGGCCTTACATCCTTATGTGATTCATACAGTTTAATTAAAATCTAGAAAAAGTAAATTAATTTACATTGCTGATATCACCCTACATCATAAATAACTTATTTTCGAACAAGGCAATGAGATTTCCTGTAATACACTTCAATATCCCAAAACCAAAATGTTCAGCCTGGGTCCCTAGGTAAGTATTATCAAGTAAAGAGCATGCTAGGAAGATAAGATATTTTTCCCCAAGGCCATAATTACACTGCCGTTCAGATGTTACTTTCAATTTCGATCAGACTTCATTTACTCAGAAGGCACAACTTGCCTTTTATTGTTAAGGAAATGTATGATGTATATCAGTGGCATAGCGTTGGTCTTTTGTAAGTGTATGCCATGGGTGAGGGTAGCGAATGACCTTTGAGGGGGGTTTGGGGGATCTTCCCCAAGAACATTTGAAAATGAGATTGCATTTGAAGCATTCTGGAGCGTTTTAAAATACAAAGTTTCGACTAATATGGATTAATAAAATGTAAATTATTGGCCATGATAAAATGTAATTTATAGGTCATTCTTCAGAATATCCAGTATTTTTAAAGTGTGGGGCAATTCAATATTAAAAAACTTTTCTCTAAACTTTGAAAGTATGCCATGGCGTTCTATGCGTATATGACGCTATGCCATTGTATATGATTGTATGATATTTATACATACATGTAGTTGTAATTTTTGTGGATTGTGTTTGACAGTTGGCATTCAGTGGTCAGCATTTGAAGTTTATAACAAATGGTAGGTGGTGACTTTTTGTATGTTAATTCTCTGTCAATTAATTATGTAATATTTTTTTCGATTATTTGTTTTATAAGATCTCTTATTGACATTGTGAGGATGGGTTGTCATAAAAGTCTGAATCTTCTAATTGCAATCATGTTCATAAATTGACATTGTCAGGATGTGTTGTCATAAAAGTCTGAATCTTCTAATTGCAATCATGTTCATGAATTGACATTGCAAGGATGGGTTGTCATAAAAGTCTGAATTTTCTAATTGCAATCATGTTCATAAATTGACATTGTGAGGATGTGTTGTCATAAAAGTCTGAATCTATTAATTGCAATCAAGTTCATAAATTGATATTGCGAGGATGGGTTATCATAAAAGTGTGAATCTTCTAATTGCAATCATGTTCATAAATTGACATTGTGAGAATGTGTTGTCATAAAAGTGTGAATCTTCTAATTTCAATCATGTTCATAAATTGACATTGCGAGGATGGGTTATCATAAAAGTGTGAATCTTCTAATTGCAATCATGTTCATAAATTGACATTGTGAGGATGTGTTGTCATAAAAGTGTGAATCTTCTTATTGCAATTATGTTCATAAATTGAACAGTTATTTTTATTTTATTGTCTTCCTCTCAGACAATGTCTTGTTTCCAGTATAGATAAATGGTAGTTATGATTTATCATAGATATTTCTCTAGTTCTAGGTCAGCAGTGGATTACATGGTATTGACCATTGTATTGACCATATGCTTATTTCACATCTTATGAATGTAAGATTGTCATTAGATATACAAGAGCTACCTTTAGATTTGATTGAAACATCGATTTTGTTTTGTTTGATGTAACAAACAGTTTTGTACACTATTGATTGTTTTGTAATTCAAAGAAATACTTATTGTGTATTTGATTATTATTATCTCAATTTATTTCCTTCTTTTCCATTACGCAAAGTATAAATATAGAATACTTGATGAATATTGAATAATTTAATCAATTACTAGTCTACATATTTCCTTATTCTCAATATTGTTAGTTATATTGAATTTGGGTGTTAAGTGCCCTTTTGTTTTGTTAAACATGACTTCACTTTGATTGAAATGCTCATATTGTGATAAAAGTTGTTTGATGGTAAGGGGTCCTTTGGCACTGTTTCAATGATTTAGCTCATTGGTCGTTAGGCTAGAGTTTACTTCCTTGTAAAGAGTTGTACTTTTTGGTGGCCTATTTTGTTATTGTGCTTCCTTAATACAATACTCTGTCATTTTTCTATGGCTGTATGTAATATATTATTGCTATTGATGTCTGCAGTTGTGTGAAATATTCACCATTTGAAAGTATATACATCATTTGAATTCAGCCAAAACCAAGATATTTGGTACCAAGTGTGATATATCATTGGAAAGGTCTTCCAAAGTTACGTTGATTGGCATATATCTGACACATGTCAAT